CACTGGAAGTCTAGATGGGAAAACTCCTTCTGCTATTGCAGATTAGAGTCCTAGCAAGTTGCCTAGGGGAACCAAGAAACTAATAATGATAATTATGACATTTACATAGCACTTTAAGGCTTGCAAAGCACCTTACTTGTCTCTTGTGAGCCCCATAGCAACCTTGTGAGGTAGGTGCTATTATTATCCCCATTTTAAAGATGAAGAAACTGAGGCTGAGGGATTAACTTGCCCCAGGTTACACAGCCAGTATGTGACAGAGGCAGGGCTTGGAAACCAGGTCTTCCTACCTGGAAGGCCAGCTCTTCACCCCACAGATGCAGTCATGCTGCTATTTGAGGCAAGCAAAAGCCCTAATCATTTGGGCAATCAGGAAAGCATTCCTATGGAAAGTACCATGAAAAGCTGAGATCTGAGGGAAACTCGAGTATTTTAAGAGCTAGAGAAATGAAAGGTGACAGCATTCAAGGTGGCAGGGACAGTGTGGGCAAAGATACCAAGAGAAGACATTGAATGCCGAGTGGCAGGGTTGAAAAGGAGTAACACAATCTGAGTCTGGAAGGGTGGATGGGAGCTGGAGGTTTTAAAAGCTGGGCTGGGCAGTTTGGATTTTATTCTACAGGCAGTAGGGAGCCCTTGAATGCTCTGGGGCAAAGGAATGACACAGTGGGAGCTATGTTTCAGGAAGGTGATTTTTACCTCCTGAGTGTCTACTCTTGTACCAGGCAGGTGCCGTTAGAGAACTTACCATAGAATGTCTGCATACCATAGATGTGGACAGAGCCATAAGACGGTGGGACTGAGAGCTGGGAAGACCTTAGATATAATCTGGTCTAACCCCATTATTTTCCTGATAAGGAAACTGAGGCCAGATGAGGTTAAATGACTTCCCTACGGTAGTAAGTAACAATAATAAGTCGTGGTTTTGAACACCATGTCCTTTGACTCTAAATGAATCATGGCCCATCTATAACACACCAAGAAACAGCCTGGTGTAGTAGGAAGAACGTGCCACTTATTGTCAAGAGTTCGAATCCTGACTCAACTTCTTACTACCTGTGTTCAATAGATGCTACATTGGTTTCTAAGGTCCCTTCCAGCTCTAAAAATCTTGTGATCTTATGCAAGTCAAAGCAGCGTCGGCGGTCACTTGCTGGCTCAGTCTAGGTCCTGCTCAGGATCCCTGGAGTCTGGGGCTGGGCGTCAAGCCAACCCCGGCCAGTGGTGGAGCCATGAAGAGCTGCAGATTCAGGAAAGCCTCCCTGACGTGGGACCAGGTCTAGCAGGGTCAGGTGAGAGATGCTGCTGTAAGCCCCGGCCTCTGAGGCCAGAAGGAACCTTCCCCTCAGCTGCCAGGCTGCTGAAATGGAGCTCAGGAATAGATGCTCACTGTTCCAAAGGAATGTGAGCTCCTTGGGGGCAGGATTGGGGCAGAGGGGATGTGGTTTCATTTTGCCTTTGTGTTCTCAGCACCTGTCGGCCCGCCGGCCTTGTACCCAGGAGCTGCTTAAGAGTTGTTTACTAGCCTAGATTCATTCATTCATTCATTCATTCAACAAGCATTAAAGTCTCTTCATGAGCCAAAGACAAAAAGGAAGCTGTCCCTGCCTTCAAAGAGCTTTTATTCAATTGGTTCAGTTCTTTCAGTCAAGTATGACTCTTTTTGACCCAATTTGGGGTTTTCTTGGCAAAGATACTGGAGTGGTTTGCCATTTCCTTCTCCAGCTCATTTTATAGATGAAGAAAATGAGGCAAACAGGGTTAAGTGACTTGCCCAGGGTCACACAGCTAGTAGGTGTCTAAGGCCAGATTTGAACTCAGGTCTTCCTGACTCCAAGCCTAGCGTTATGTCCATTGTGCCACCTAATTATAATAAGATCATAGCATCATAGGATTTAGAGGTGAAAGCAGGGGTCTACTGGTAAATGTTTAACAACTGGCTCTCTTAAGCATCACACACTTTTCAGTTTCGTTGGTCTTGTTATCACTTTCTCCATCACTTTCTTAAGACTAGATAATCAAGAAAATGGGCAGTTGGTGGTCGGGTGGATAGAGAGAGCACCAGCACTACAAATCCCATGGTCTTCTACAAGCCAAAGCAGAATCCCCTTCTTCTGAAGGCATTGGCCTCAGACATTTACTAGCTGTGTGACCCTGGGCAAGTCATTTAACCCTGTTGGCCTCAGTTTCCTCATCTGTAAAATGAGCTGGAGAAGGAAATGGCAAACCAGTCCAGTATCTTTGCCAAGAAAAACCCAAATGAGGCCACGAAGAGTCAGACATGACTGAAAAATGACTGAACAATGAATCAACAAACCAATAAATCAATCTGCAGCATTTGCTAATCTCCAAGGCATAAAACGCTAGTGCTGAAAATTTAACTGCAGTCAGTTACCAGCTGGCTCCAGGGCACACATGGTTAATTCACTTCTGCAAACACTTACCATGTCCTACTTCTCATCTGTTCTGATAGGGCTCAGGAAAGGGAGAAGGAATAAGCATTTATTAAGCTCCTACTATGTGCTAGACACTTTGCTAAACACTTTACAAATATTATCTTGTTTGATCATCACAACAACCCTGGGAGGTAGGTGCTATTATCATCCTCACTTATGGTTAAGGAAACTGAGGCAGGCAGCAGTTAAGTGACTTGCCTGGGAACACATAGCTAGTAAGTGTCTGAGTCCAGATTTGAACTCATGTCCCTGGTTACCAGGGACATCAGAAATCGTCTGACCCAGTCCCCTTAGAGAAAAGGTCATGGGGTCATTGATTTAGAGATAGAAAATACCTTAGAGAGATCATCTTGTCCATTTGCAAAAGAGGAGGCTGAGCCCCTGAGGTGGGGAAGTGATTTGTCCAAGGTCACATAACCAGTGGGTGACAGAGCCAGGATGTGAAGCTAGATCCTACCCACTCCCAAAGCACTGGTTAGATTAGCTATGGTCCCTGCCTTCACCACTCTCCGTTTAGTAGCTGATGAGACCATTATTGGCTGTGAGACCCTGGGCAGGTCTCAGTACATGGGACAACTCCCTAGGACAGGTAGTGACAGACAAGTTTACCAAGCTGCCTTGGTAAAATGGTCTGGTTAAAATTAAAAAAAAAAAAAGATGCAGACAAATGAAATGCTAAGTTCATTAGCAAAGTGCAAAATGAGGTCTTGGGGGTGGGGTGTGTGCAGAGAGAGGATCAGGGGAGGCCTCCTAGAGTGAGGGGCATTTGAATTGACCTTTAAGGAATTCCAAAGCCTGAGAAGGAGTAGGGGTCTGCCCAGAGGATTAGCAACTGCAAAGGCCAGGAGGCTGGAAATGACAAGGGCCCATTTGGAGGAGCAGTGAGAACTGTCAAATAGAAGTCCAGTTTGGCCAGAGCGAAAAGCGTCTGGAAGGGAACGACGTAAGAACCATTAAGTCTCAGCAGCACAATGAACCTTCCAAGTGAATCATAACCACAGACAGTTTTCAACGAGATCATTCCCAAGAGCCTCCCCCAACAACTCCCAGCTGATAAGGTTGTAGGGCCTGGGAGACAGTGGAGTTGTCTGACCGACTCAGGGAGTCAGACAGGGTCACTCAGGCAGAGATGAGCTGTGGGTTCTGGGAACTGGTGACTGGGTCCTGGGAGGTCTGAGGACCGAGGCTGCCCATAGGAGGGGGAGGAGATGGAATTCATGTGAATGCTGGGCCCAGAGGGAGGAAGCGGTAGATTATTATAGGCTCATGGGGTCATTAGAGCTGGAAGGCCCTCAGAGGTCATCTAATCCATCCTTATTGTGCAGCTGAGGCCCACAGAGGGAACGCACAGAGTGGACCGGCTCCAAGACCTGACCCCGAGCTGATTCCAACCCAGGTCCCTGGCTCTGGCCAATGTTGGCATCCTTCCACTCAAACATTCTGGCATCTTCATGTGAATGGGGTGGGTGGGGGCACAAATGGAGGGAGCGGGTTCCTGACCTCACACTTCACTATTTGTTCCAGAAACCAGAGGGCCGAATGACCTGGTCCAGCCTAAAGCCTATGCCTTTCCCCTGAGCTCCCCCCACCCACAATTGATTAAGCCCCATCAATAGCCTTCCTCAAAAAGCCCTGCTTAGACACCAAAGACCTTAGAGGAAGCTGGTTTGCATTGACAGCCCTAGTCCCTTGATCTGCACAGACATGTGTGAGAGGCAGGCGTGTGCATGGGGGGTTCGGGGGGGAGGAGGGGGGGCAGAGCTGCTGTGGATTTTTTCCTGAAACAACCCAGGCTTTATCAGGCCCATCTCTTTCCCACGGTTTTCTGTTGCCAGTGAGGTCACTGGTCCCTTTAAACTGCAGCAGGGACCAATCAGGGAGCCTGGGGGAGGGTTGTAGGGGCTAGAGGGAGGGAGAGAGAGGGGGGACAGGAGGAGCCGTTCACACAGACGTCTGTTCCCTTTACAGGAAGAGTCAGGATCAACCCCCTCCCCACCCCCAAGCAGCAGCAGGAGGGAGAGAGAGAGGGAGGGGAAGCCAGGGAGACAGGAGGGAGGGAGAGAGAAGCAGGGCCAATCCATCACTCCTGGGAGATGCCTTATTAACCCATTAAACAGGGAGGTTACAGGAGGGAAGGAGGGGGGTCGGTCTGGAAACTGCAAAGGGCATCTGAGCGTGAGAGAGAGACAGAGGAAGAGGAGAGGGCTGGGGCAGAGGGGGGCTGGTGGAGACAGACAGAGCACAGTGTGTGGGAGGGAAGGAGGTTGAGGAGATACTCCACCAAAGCCACAGGAGACAGCTGGGTGGGCTGGGAGGGGAAGAAGTTTCTCTGCTCTCCAAGAAAGGGGACCCGGCTATTTCCTTGCCAAGCCTCCTTCTTCCTTTTACAGACAACCTAAGGAGAGAGAGAAGAGAGAGAGAGAGAGAGAGCACTAGGGAGGCTGGTTCACCTGGGAGAGGTAGGGAGGAACAGTTCAGATTCACACACACACACACACACACACACACACACACACACACACACACAC